CCTTGCTGCTGATCAGCCTGAGTAAAACCGTGCCATTGATGTGCCAACAACAATCAAGACTCAATTACAACAGAAGGGTATACAGTCCACATTACGGGTGTACCTCGAGGGCCCAGCTGGTATTATTAGGGAGATTGCGCCACTGGATCCTACAGGACACCTATAACAATAGGCCACCCTATGAAGCTGAGAAGACATAGCAACTCTACCTAATACATAGAAACAATTGTAGGGAAGCAGCCAAAATGAGGAGACAAATAAACATGTCCCAAATGAAAGAAAAGAACATAACTCCAGGAAAAGAACTAAACAAAATGGAGATAAGCAATTAATCAGATTTAGAGTTCAAAACACAGGTTATAAGGTTGCTCAATGAACTTGGTGAGACATTCAAGGGACTTAGTGAGACCTTCAAGGAACATCAACAACATCAAATAGGACCAGTCAGAAATGAAGGATGCACTAACTGAAATAAAGAATAATTTACAGGGAAATAATAGTAGAGTAGGTAAAGCCAAAAAGCAAACCATTGATTTGGAATATAAGGAAGCAGAAAACACCCAGAACAGCAAAAAGAAAAATAATCCAAAAAATGAGGATAGTGTAAGGAGCCTCTGGGACAACTTTGAGTGTACCAACATTTGCATCATGGGGGTGCCAGAAGGAGAATAGAGATGGCAAGAAATTGAAAACCAATTTGAAATAATAATGAAAGAAAACTTCCCTAACTTGGTGAAGGAAATAGACATAAAAGTCCAGGTAGCAAATAGAGTCCCAAACAAGATGAACCCAAAGAGGTCCACACCAAGACACATCATCATCGAAATGCAAAAGGTTAAAGACAAAGAGAGAATCTTAAAAGCAGCAAGAGAAAAGCAGTTAGTTACCTACAAGAGAGATCCCATGAGGCTGTCAGCCAATTTCTCAAAAGAAACTTTGCAGGACAGGAGGGAGTGGCAAGAAATATTTAAAGTGATGAGAAGCAAGGACCGACAGCCAAGATTACTTCATCCTGCAAAGCTATCATTTAGAATTGATGGCCATATAAAGAGTTTCCCAGACAAGAAAAAGCTGAAGGAGTTCATCACCACCAAACCAGTATTATATGAAATGTTGAAGGGTCTTCTTGAAGAAGAAGATAAAAAAACATGAACAATAAAATGGGAATAAATACATATCTATCAACAAAATGAACAAGCAGAACAGAAACAGACTCATAGATACAGAGAACTTTTTGTTGGTTGCCAGAGGGGAGGCAAGTTGGGTGAAAAAGATGAAGGGATTAGCAAGTACAAGTTGGTTGTTAGACCGATGAACCTCAAAGGGAAGGGGGAAGGAGGGATGGAAAGACAAAAACCAAAGAACTTCTATGCATATATGCATAACCAATGGGGAAGGCAGGAGGGGGGCAGGATTGGGAAGGAGGGGGTCAAGGGGGAAAAAAGGGACATCTGTAATACATTCAACAATAAAGATAAGATAAAGAATTTTTTTTCAGTATGAAATTTGATAAGTTTTTACAAGGAGACACCCATGAAACCCCCACCACAATCAGGATAGTGAGTTTCTCATAGCAGTTTCTTTTGTAGTTCCCTTTGGGCCTCTGTGACCCCTCCCTCCCACTGTGCTACCCAAAGCCCCAGGCAACCACTGATCCTCTTTCTGTGTCTAGGGTTTACATTTTCAGGAGATTTATATAAAATGCTTCATCAATATGTTCTTTGTTATTGTTGTTCTGGCTATTTTCACTCAGCATAGTTATTTTGAGATGCATTCATGTTGTATTATTCAATAGTCTGTCCCTTTTATTGTTTGATCCTGTTCCCTTCATAAACATACCACCAATTATTTACCCATTTCTGTTGATGGACATTTTGCTTGGTCCTAGTTCTTGACTATTACAAACAAACAACGTTCCTATGAACATTCATATGCAAGTATCTGTGTGGACACATGTCAATATTTCTCTTGGATTATACCTAGGAGTGAAATGGCTGGGTCATAGAGTGGGTCTATGTTTAGTTTTTTAAAGAGATGACCAACTTTACTAGAGTGACCGTGCCGTTTTACGTTTTCAGCAGCAATGTATGAGAGGTCCAATGCTTGGCAGTTCAAGTAGGAAAAATGATAATGTGATCTACAGAACACAAAACTTCCCAGCAGTTTCCTAAAATCCAAGTAAAACACATCAAGTATCTATGTGAAAACAGAAAACTGTAATGTTGGACATAAAAAGCTTCAAGTATTGCTTCTTCACCCACAAAAACTAACATCGTTGCTTTGTGGTCAATATGCCTGTGATGCTTTTTTAGAAAATCAGAGGCACATCACTTTCACTGATGATTCTGATGTTCTACCAGTTGTATTTGGAATGGAACTCGGGTTTTCCACAGAAATTATAAAAAATGTAGCATTGCATTTAAAATATTTTTTTTCTTTATTGATTTTTAGAGAGAGAGGAAGAGAGAGGTAGGAAATGGAAACATTGATGAGAAAGAACATCGATTGGCTACCTCCTACATGCCCTCAACTGGGGATTTGGCCCCCAACCTGGGCATGTGCCCTTACTGGGAATCAAACCAGTAATCTCTTGGTGCATGGGTCAACACTCAACCACTGAGCCACACTGGTTGGGCTAGCATAGCATTCTTTGAATGTAATCATAAGTTTTCCCCAAATGATTGTCAAAAACCTTATATTGAAAGATACAATTATTTCATGAAGATTTGGATATTAAAAACTAAAAGACAGCGCTGGTGGGTTTGGCTCAGCATTTAGAGTATGGCCCATGGATTGAAAGGTGGTGGGTTCCATTCCAGTCAAGGGCATGTACGTGGGTTTCAGGTTTGCTCCTGGGCCCTGGTCGGGCAGTGCAAGAGAAACCGATTGATGTGTCACTCACATCTGTTTCTTTCCTGCCCACTTCTCTCTCGAAAAATCAATGGAAAAATTAACCTCTGGTGATGTATAACAACCACAAAAACTAAAAAAGTGGGGAAATATTCTGTGTGTATGCCTTTGTTTCTGGTTTTCTCTTGGGACACACAGTGGGAGTGCCCAGAAGCAGACAGTTGCAATATGGCGCTCTGACGTGGGTGCTGAGCTCAGAGGGGTGGTGGGATGAGGTAGAGATGGTGGGCAGCAACAGTGGCTGTCTCTCCCCTCAGCATCGTAGCGCAGGTCACCTTGCACACCTGCTTGCTCACAGGCTGCCATCTATTCTTGGAGAGACGCAGCTAGACAAAACGAAGTGCACAGCCTTGGCCACCCTTTGTCAAGCTCAGTCCTCTCTCTTGGAGAGGACGGCCTATAGCTCACACATGGTGCCTAAGGTTACATAGACCTCAAATACCAGTGACTGGATAGTGGTGGAGCATGGACTAGGATTAATCACATGGGGACTGGGGTGACTTTTGAAAGCAGAAATCCATAATTCCCAGGTTCATGGCCTTGTGCCCAGCTCCTCCTATGATATTGGCCTCTTTCTGTTTTTTGAGGGTGGAGAAGGGGACCATTAGCACAAGGTAGAAATGAGCACCAGCTGGGGTACAGGACCCTAAATCACAACATTCCTCTCACCAGGAAACTCCCCCTTCCCCGCCGCACATGCTGTTCAAATCCCACACCCTGCCTAACTTTCAGGACCTCCCCAAGACCCACCACCTCCCAGGAATAAGTCTCTGACACCATCAGCCCAATTGTGCCAGACATTAGTCTCAGGGTTCCACACACCCCATCCCACTGAATCCCTACAGCATCTATAGACAGATACCATTATCCCCATTAGGAGGACACTAAGGCTCCAAGAGGTTAAATGTGTCCTCATGGCTTCAAAATGACAGAAATAGGAATGAAGCCCAGGTCTGCATGATTTCAAAGCCCATGTTCTTAAGCACTTTCTATTTGATATCACCTCCCCAGCATCAACCCTTGTTCTGACCCACAATTGTCTGAACTTGGTCCCACTCTGCTGGGTTACTTTATATGCTTGAAGTAAAAAGGTTTTGTTGAGTATTTAAAACATTTCCTCGTCTTCATTGTAAGTTGCTTGAAGAAAGGGATGATTGCCCTGGCCAGTTTGGCTCAGCGGTAGAGCGTCAGCCTGCGGTCCACAGAGACCCGGGTTCGGTTCCCGCTAAGGGCATGTACCTTGGCTGCGGTTTGTTCCCGGTTGGGTTGTGTGGGTGGCGGCCACTTGATGTGTCCCTTTCACATCGATGTTTCTCTCTCTTCCTCTCTCTCCTTCCTGCTCTATCTGAATAAAAAATGGAAAAATGTCCTCGGGTGAGGATAAAAAAAAGAAAAGAAAGAGATGACATCTTCTACTTCTCTATTTCTCTCAGTGGGTTTATGGTATATAGCGAGGTATACATAGTGATTAACGTTTGTTCATTCACTGTGGTTGAACTCAGACAAGGAAAAGAAATTAAAATGTGCTCAATGCCAGACACCATACTTAAAGACATTATTTTATCCAACCCTTTTCTAATCTATTCCATCTGAAAGCTTTGTGATAGGTACTAACCTCTTTGGTAGAGATAGTTGCCTTGTTTCTGAGGCTAGTTAAAATGGAGTAACTCACCTGTTTCCACACAGTGTGAGAGTGGTGATACACGGTTGACCAGACATCCCAGTTCTACTCCGTTCCTGTCACATGTAATTAGTTTTCTGTTCCACAGTTAAATCTGGTTCCAAAAGGTAGCCTTTGATGGTATCCACTATTTTTTCTGAGTGTATGATTTGGGTAATTTTAGGTCACTAAGTAGATCTCAAAGAGATGAGAATGACGGGAACAATCTTGGTCACACATCAGTGAATACAGACCATCCATGGAGTGGGAGGAGAAAAGCTGGTGTCCCTTGGACAAAAAAACAAAAAACAAAAAACAAAAAAAACTGGATCCAGAATGAACATAAAGACAGAGAGCTGGGGAGTGGAGCCACCATCAGGGAAAGATTCACTCAAGCGACTGTAGCTGCATCAGTAGTGTTCCTCCCACGATGAAGCTGCTGCTGCTGTGTCTGGGGCTGACTCTCATCTGTGCCCACGATGAAGGAAGCCATGAAGTTGTGACAAGTGACTTTGATATGTCAAAGGTAGAGTCAGGGAGCATAGAGACTTCTGACTTTGGTAGTGTTTGGGGGGATTCTAATTCAAGGTGGCCCTTCTGGTGGGCAAGAGATTCTTTTTTCCCCTCCTTTTTATTGATTTTATTTATGTATGCATTTATTTATTACAGTCTATTTTTAATTTTATTTTTGTTACAGATGTTTCTCCTTTTTTACCCCATTGACACCCTCCTCCCCATCCCCCTGACCCCATCCTCAGCTTTGTTGTCCATGTCCATTGATTATGTGTACATGCATATAAGTTCTGTGGTTTATCTCTTCCCTCCTCCCGCCACCCCCTCTTCTGAGGGTTGTCAATCTGTACCCTACTTCCACGTCCCTGGGTCTACCCTATTCCTCAGACTGTTATGTTCATTATATTCCACAAATAAGTGATATCATGTGGTATTTGTCTTTTTCTGCTTGGCTTGTTTTGCTTAGGATAATACTTTCCAGGTCCCTCCATGTCGTCTCAAAGGATAAGAGATCTATCTTTCTTTCTTACAACTGCATAGTACTCCACATACCACAGCTTTTTTATCCATTCGTCTACTGATGGACACTTGGGCTGTTTCCAGATCTTAGCTATTGTAAATAGTGCTGCTACAAACATGGGGGTACATATATTCTTTCTGATTGGTGTTTCAGGCTTCTTAGGATATATTCCTAGAAGTGGGATCACTGGGTCAAATGGAAGTTCAATTTTTAATTTTTTGAGGTAACACCGTATTGTTTTCCATAGTGGCTGCACCAGTCTGCATTCCCACCAGCAGTGTACTAGAGTCCCCTTATCTCCACACCCTCGTCAACACTTGTTGTTTGATGATTTGTTGATGGCAGCCATTCTGACAGGTGTGAGGTGATACCTCATTGTTGTTTTAATTTGCATCTCTCTGATGATTAGTGATGTTGAGCATTTCTTCATATATCTCTTGGCCATTTGTATTTCCTGTTTGGAGAGAGGTCTATTCAGCTCCTCTGCCCATTTTTTAATTGGGTTCTTTGTCTTCCTTTTGTTGAGTTGTATGAGTACTCTATATATTTTGGAAATTAACCCCTTATCTGATGTATCATTGGCGGTATGCTCTCCCATACAGTGGGTTGCCTTTCCATTTTGACGGTTGTTTCTTTTGTTGTGCAGAAGCTTTTTAGTTTGATTTAGTCCCGTGTGTTCATTTTTTCCTTTGTTTCTGTTGCCTTAGGTGATGTATCAGTGAAAATTCTGTTGCATATGATGTCCAAAATTTTGTTGCCTACATTTTCTTCTAGAATTTTTATGCATTCACAGGTCACATTTAAGTCTTTTATCTATTTTGAGTTTATTTTTGTGTATGGTGTAAGTTGATGGTCTAGTTTCATTTTTTTTGCATGTAGCTGTCCAATTTTCCCAACACCATTTATTAAAGAGGCTGTCTTTACTCCATTGTATGCTCTTGCCTCCTTTGTCAAATATTAATTGAGCATAATGTCTTGGGTCCATTTCTGGGTTCTCTGTTCTGTTCCTCTGGTCTATATGCCTGTTCTTGTGCTAGTACCAAGCTGTTTTGATTACAGTGGCTTTGTAGTATAACCTGATATCTGGTATTGTGATCCCACCTACTTTGTCCTTCTTTTTCAAGATTGCTGTGGCTATTCGGGTTTTTTTGTTTGTTTGTTTTTGTTTTGTTTTTTTTGGTTCCATATGAACTTTTGAAGTATTTGTTCTAGTTCTGTGAAATATGTCATTGGTATTTTGATGGGGATTGCATTGAATCTATAGATTGTTTTGGGTAATATGGACATTTTAATGATGTTAATTCCTCCAATCCATGAACAAGGTATGTGCTTTCACTTTTTTTATATCTTCCTTTATTTCTTTTTTCAATGTCCTGTAGTTTTCTGCAAATAGGTTCTTTACTTCTTTGGTTAAGTTTATTCCTAGGTATCTTAATTTTTGGCCGTGATGGTAAATGGGATTTTTTTTCAGTTTCTCTTTCTGTGAGTTCATCATCGGTATATAAGAATGCCGTCGATTACGTTAATTTTGTATCCTGCTACTTTGATGGAGTCTTTAGGGGTTTTCTATGTATAATATCATGTCATCTGCAAATAATGACAGTTTCACTTCCTCCTTTCCAATTTGGATACCTTTTATTTTTTCTTCCTGTCTGATTGCTGTGGCTAAAACTTCCAGAACTATGTTAAATAAGAGTGGCAAAAGTGGGCATCCCTGTCTTGTTCCTGTTCTTAAGGGAAATGCTTTTAGTTTTTGCCCATGGAGTATGATGTTAACTGTAGGTATTTCATATATGGCCTTTATTGTGTTGAGATATAATCCCTCTATTCCCAGATTGCTGAGCGTTTTTATCAGAAATGGGTGCTGGATTTTGTTGAATGCTTTTTCAGCATCTATTGATATGATCATATGATTTTTATCTTTCATTTTGTTCATGTGGTGTATCACATTTATTGATTTGTACCAGCCTTGCATCCCTGAGATGAATCCCACTTGGTCATGGTAAAAATTTTTTTGATGTATTGCTGGATTCGATTTGCTAGTATTTTGTTCAGGATTTTGGCGTCTATGTTTGTCAGAGATATTGGCCTGTAGTTTTCTTTCTTTGTAATGTTTTTTTTGGGGGTTTTGGAATTAGAATTATGCTGGCCTCATAAAAACTCCCCTGTGAAGCCATTCAGGCCTGGGCTCTTGTTTGCTGGGAGAATCTTGATTACCTCTTCAATTTCCTTAGTTGTTATTGGTCTGTTCAAGTTTTCTATCCCTTCCCAGTCCAGCTTTGGGAGACTATGTGTTTGTAGAAATTTGTCCATTTCACTTAGATTGTCGAATTTGTTGCCATATAATTGTTCATAGTAGTTGTTAATGATCTTTTGTATTTCTGTGGTGTCAGTTGTTACTTGTCTTTCATTTCTGATTTTGTGTATTTGGGTTCTCTCTCTTTGTTTCTTGGTGAGTCTAGTTAAGGGTCCATCAATCTTGTTTATCTTTTCAAAAATCAGCTCTTTGTTTCATTGATCCTTTGAATTGTTTTTTTGGTCTCCATGTCATTTATTTCTGCTCTGATCTTTACTATTTCTTTCCTTCTACTTGCTCTGGGGTTTTCTTTGTGTTTGCTTTCTAGGTCTTTAAGTTGTGAGGTTAGATATTCTGTTAGAAATTTTTCTTGCTTGTTGAGGTAGGCCTGCAGTGCTATGAACTTGCCTCTTAGAACTGCTTTCGCTGCATCCCATTGATTTAGTGTTGTTCTGTGTTCATTTTCATTGGTTTCCAGGAAGTTTTTAATTTCTTCCTTGATCTCTATGGTAACCCATTCATTGTTCAATAACATGCTATTTAGCCTCCATGTTTTCAAATGTCTTTGCATGTTCTAGTTGCATGCCATTGTGATCTGAGAAGATGCTTGATATGATTTCAATCTTCTTGAACTTGTAGAGACTTAGTTTGTGTCCTAACATGTGGTCTATCTTTGAGAATGTCCCATGTGCACTTGAGAAGAACGTGAATTCTCTAGTTTTAGGGTGTAATTCTTTGTAGATATCTATTAAATCCAATGTGTTCTTTATTTCTGATATGTCATTCTTCATTTCTTCTTGGTGGTTTTTAATTTCCAATTGGTTGATTTTCAACATTTCTATATCTTTACTCATGGTGTTGATGTCCTTACTCATGCTGTTGAGTTTCCTTGGGATCATGGCACTGAATTCTATCTCTTAATTTGCTGAACTGCTCCACATTTATCTCATCTTTGATAGAGGTCTCTTGTTCTTTCATTTGGCTTTTGTTTCTGTGTTTCACCATTTTGGCTATCACAGTGGGCTTTGGAGCCTGCCAAATTTTCCCTGTGGGTGTTGGTGTTCTGCTGTTTGTGGCTCCCTCTCCTGGGTTTGGATGAGTGAGGGAGAACCCACGTTAAACACCACTGTCAAATATTACTTTCCTGGTTAGAGTTGCTAGCCCAGGAATGGTACAGTTATCCTCTAGTGTTTTGCCTGGAGGCTATTAGTAGTGGTTACTTGAAGAGCCTTGGGTTCTCAGTTGAATAGAAAACTCCCTCAGGTGCTCAGCATAAGGGGATTTCCCAAAGGTGGGGCAGATGCTGGTTGTTAGTGAGCCTCAATTTGCATTTTAATGGCCCACCTGGGTGGGGTTGAATCTCTGAGGGAGGGCACAGGGCCTCTCCCTAGAGCCCTGGGAAGGAGTAAGATGGCCACTGTCCTGCGTGCTGCAACTCAGCAAAAGCTCTGAGCCCCCTCCAATTTCCAAGTGTCCCCACACAGTTCCAGTCCAGTCCACCCTCCCTCTGCCAGAGCCTAAGGTAAGTGGCTGTGGCTATTTTAGCGTCTGTCTGGGCTCTGGGCTGTGGAGCTGCTTGGGAGTTTAACCACCAGGCCGCTGCTCTCTGTGGGCTCCCAGCCCCTCTCTTGTGCCTCCGCAATCCTACCGGGATAAGAGTCAGTGTCCCTGTTTATATGATCCTCACAAGCTGCTTTTCTGTTGCCTTTTTCCCATTAATTTGTCTTTATTTTAATTGTAATTCCAGTTTGGTCCTGGGAGACAGTCTGTGTGGTTTCCATTCACTCTGCTGCCATTTTGGAATTCTCAAGAGATTCTTGACATATCAGGCAAAAGGGGTGGTTTCTGACCTTGGACTAGGAGCAACCGTGACATGTGGAATGGTGACACGTCTTGGAGTCCTGCATTTTCACTGGAGGGACAGTAGAAAGAGCCTTATATAGTGTCAATTGACCTGAGTTCTAATTCCATGTTGACATCACCTCTATGAGTCCTGGCCCATGGGCCAGAGTTCAAGGAGACAAGTGTTCATGTGGTATCCCCTCTCTTCTTTTCTTCCCAATCATTTTACTGATTTATTGCAGATATCAGGGGAGTGGTATACCATACTCTTGGCCTCAAATGTCAAAGAAAGAATAGAAGAAAATAGTGCCATGAGGGGTTTTGTTGAATCTATCCAATCCTTGGACAACTCTTCTCTGACATTTAAATTTCATATAAAGTAAGTGTGGCCTTTTTACTTAAAAAAAAAAAAAAAAGTATAACAGAAGCTTGAGTATGATCTTGGACCAGTAACCACACATACTAACACACACAGATCACACACACATATGCACATATACACATACATTGTGGGCCTGTATCCAAAGTCAGAGTCTCTCATCTTGCACTGATGTAAGAATTGAGGAACTTGCCTTTTTTCTAGATTCAGAGATAAGAACTGGTAACAGGAATGAGTCTAACTGGGAGAAGAGGAGGTAAGAGATTTAGGGACATCAGGATCACAGGTAGTGTGGGAATAAAGCCTAGATTAAGGGTATAGGATTGGGGATCAACAGCCCAACTATCTCTTGAAAGTATCTCTTACTAGTTGTGTGACCATGCAAATTCATCCTTTTCCACCCCAATTTTTCCTTGGGTAAAGAGGGTAATAATAATTCTCTTTCATGGATTTTTTTTCTTTGCGAGGACCGAGTGAGGCGCTGTCTATAGGGTACTTACCTGAGAGGCAGGCACATCTAGACAAGTATCTGTAGTAGAAGCCAGAGTGATAACAATAGGGGTCGTGGTGACAGAGAAATAGTGATATGGTAGTAGACTCTTTCTTAAAGTATGAAATAAAGTGAAATAAGGTCAATAAAAGCACTTTCAAATTTATGCCAAGAATGTTGAACAGTTGGTTGGAATAAGATATATTATAGTGTGAGGGGGCCAGCCCCATCAATATCTCTTGGGCATCAACTCATTCTGTTTTACAGGGTGAATGGAGAGTGTACTGAAATTTCTTTGCTTGGTGACCCATTAGGAGGGAATGGTGTATATAATGTTATCTGTAAGTATACAAAAAATGTCTTTGTAAATTCTACTACCAACTACAATAAATACACTGAACTTCAATATCTTTAAGGTCTTGATCAATTCCTGATCAATGCTTATTTAGATAATATAAAGGGGCCATCTAATAGCCAATAAGTCCATCTGGGAGAGCCTTGTATGTAAAAACCAATGCCTGGCATATAATACCATCCAAACAAGATGGCAGTTTGGTCATATGTACCACCTAAAACAAAAGAAAATGGGCAAAACCGTGAAAACACAATAAAAAGTGTGAATCATCAGGACAGTTGCTCATTCTCTGCCCACATTCCACTGATTTTCAGTGGCCATTGCCACAGCACATTGCTCGGATAGAGTGCTGGGTATATAATGCCGGTGGGCTTATAGACGGAACAGAGACACGTAGTTGGCAGAGATGGCCCTGGGAGGTAGGTGAGCCTCAGGGAGGATGATTAAGGGGAAGTTGCTACTCTGGCTGAAATTTTCTACCGTTAGTGGTCAATGAGGAGCAGTGGAATTTCTGCCAGTAGTCACTTCTACCCTTAGAAGTCACCAGATGAAGCCTAGGGAGACAAAAATGGAAGGCCTTAGTTGGCGTTCTTTGTCTCCCGCAGGATATGCACTTGAATTTGTTCTGTGAGAGAGAGTAATAGGTTAGAGTTTCACTTGCTTCTCATGGAGCAAAGAAGTTCTGAGCTGTGTTCTTTCTGTTTCCTCCACAGATGCTGGATTCAATATATTGTTGATAAGTGAGGCGGTCTATAGTGACTATCTTATTTTTCAAGTCATTAATTTCAACCCTGAGAAGCCATTCGATATGATGGGACTCTATGGTAGAGTATATTTAATCTGACACTCATGTTGGGGTGGGGAGACAGGGGAATGAAGGAAACCCACAAACCAAGTAGTCCTCCCAATTTTATCCTGGGATATCACTCCTCTGAAGAGAGGTGCTCACCTGGGTAATCCCTCAGGCTACGTGATGGGAAGGTGATGACATTTCTCCTCATGCAGAAGATATCGCAAAGATGTCAAATTCAGGACAGGTTATAGCCCATCCCTAACTTCTGCCTAAGCACCAATCAGTGCCATCCAGTGCCATCCATCTGCCCCTCCCCCACCCCAAGAGCCCATGACCAAGTCACAAGACACAGCAGTTACTGTCACTCTTCCCACAGCCCGAAAACCAGATGTGAGTCCAAAACTCAAAGAGAGGTTTGGAGAACTTTGCCAAAAGTATGGAATTCCTGAGGAAAACATACTGGACCTGACCGATGATGGTACGTGAATCTATCTCTGGTCTTCTCTGCCTAAATCCCCATGTTACTGAATGGAGAGAGCCCAGAGAAACCTGGGGGATCATCTGGTTGCTCTCTGGGAAATAAACGAGATGGAGTTTGACTGCTCTGTTCTGCCTCTGCAGATCGCTGTCTCCAGGCCCGAGGGAGCCATGTGGCCCAGGACTCCAGGTGGGTGATGTGTGACGGAGAGGGGGTGCCAGGGATCACTGCCTTCCAACACCATTAGGGGGTTGTGTCCAAATATCACAATACCAGTAATTTGGTAAGGAAGCTTGTGGGGTGAGCTTGAAATTTGGAATTGGGGGTTTGGGTTCAGGACCTACTCCTTCCATGAGCGTTAGAGCAAACGGCCTAAGCAATGGAAAGGAGGACAGTAGCCTGGCCTGTGTTGCTCAGTGGATTGAGGTTTGGCCCCTGGACTAAGGGGTCCTGGATGGATTCTCGGTCAGGGCAGATGCCGGGGTTGTGGGCTCCATCGCCGGTAGGGGGCGGGCAGGACGTAGCCAATCAATGTATCTTTCTCACATCGATGTTTCTATCTCACTCCCTTCCTCTCTCTCTAAAAAAGTCAATAAAAATATATTTTTTAAAATAATAAAAATAAAAATAAAAGGAGGCCAATGATGTGTACTTTACTGTGTGGATATCCTGCTGGTGAAAAGGCCTTAGTAATTGTTAATGTCCTAATAAAAATCATTAAGACTTAAACTTTGAACTAAAAAAAGAGTATTAGGGTGTGAGTATGAAACTCAAATACATTTCTGTGTTTTGTCCGTCTGCCAAGGCCAAAATGTGTGGTGTCACCCTCCAATTTCGGGTAATACGGTCTTCCCTTCATCTCTGCACATCCTGCACTTCTGATCTGGAAACAGAGCTGACTGACCTTCCGGTGTCTTTCACCTGGAAAATAGGCTCTGAATGTCCTCCTGTTTCCCACCTCACCTTTATTGTGGGGCTTTATTCAGATAACATGGGAAAGTCTTAGCATCGATGGCTTGTATGAAGTCAGCCTTTAATAAAAGGTGGCTGTGGCTTTTGCCATTCTTCCTCACTTTATCAGTGATTCTTCCAAACACCGGATGCTGAGAATGGCAGAAACCAGCCTAGGGTCCTTCATTGATTCCTCTCTCTTTTTCCTACACTCAGTTGAGGAAAGGTTAAGCAATAGAAACAACGACAACAACAAAACACCAGCTATTGATTTAATGCCCTTCTTTCCCCTATTCTGGCAAAAAACATCGGTTGGAGTACAGGCTGATATCTATTTTTTCATTATTTTTCTCTGTAATAAGAACTCTCCATCTTTTTAGTTCAATCCAGAGAGTGCTTAATGGTTTCTGTGTTCTCTCTCTCTCTGTGCTTATTTTAGTGCCGAGTGAATGCTTCCTCACCTGAGCTCCAGGATCTTCATTCCATGGTCCCTGTGTCATCCTGTGTCAAGACCTGTGACCTCATTTCCATCACTATCATCCAGGAGGGCATTATCTCTGAAAATTAAGGATCTTCTCTAAGTGTCTAGACAAACTCATCAGCTCACCAAGAAAAAAGGTTTTCTCAAATTCCAGACTCTCTTTTTGCCTTACCCAGGAGAACTTAACAAGAATAAGACATCCTGTACCTGGTCAATAAATGATTATTTTTGCAGTCATGTGATTGTCTTTGTGTGTGTGAGAGGCCTCGGGCTGACAGCAATGGGTGAGGGGACTCTTGGCCCTCTACCTATAATGATCCTCTAGCATCTCAGTCTTCCTTGAGTTCCTACACATTCTCTGTCCCCGTGTAGCTACTTGTCCTTAAAAAAAAAAAAAAAAAAAAAAAAATCCCTTTATTGATTTTAGAGAGAGAGGAAGTAGAGGGAGAGAGAGATAGAAACATAGATGAGAGAGAATATTGATTGGCCACCTCCTGCCTGCTCCCCACTGGTGATTAGGCCCACAACCCGGGCATGTGTCCTGACTGGGAATCGAACCAGCGACCGCTTGGTGCATGTGTCGATGCTCAACCACTGAGTCACACCGGCTGGACCTGCTTGTCCTTAGATTGTCCTATATCTCAGTGACCCCATAAAGCAAACTATGAGAGTTTCCCCACATTTTTCTGTAACCAAAATTTTATTTCTCAAGAGGGTACTGAGAGACCGATGCTACTGGGGCTGACACTGGTCTCCATGATTTAGGACACTCCTCCAGGCCCCAGCATCCCTGTCATCCCTTCTATGACACAGTTGGAGACCTTTCCTGCTCCGGAAAACCTCCTTCAACCAGGGCTGTTATCACTGGGACCATGTTAAGTGAGAAGCCAGGAAGTGTGGGCAATAGCGATCTTTAGCAATCTGTACTTGGTAAGGTCAGGAGGCACCAAGGAGTCCAAATGGCTTTACTGTATTTTGGGGGAGCTTATGGGCTTTGAAGAAAAAACGTTAAAGTATTCTCTGCACTTTTAATCCTTTTCTTACATCAGATGATTAAAACCATGTAAACTGCTACCTCCGACTTAGCGGGTATAGTGGGGCCTGAGATTCTGATTCTCACAAGCTCCCAGTGATGCCAACGCTGTGCCACCTTGGGAGAGGGGTGCAACAGGTAAAGGGAACTTCTTACCTTCTTCAGTACATCAATGTCTTGGATTATTTTGCTTCACCTGGTGCTGGAACCTCTCAGTCGTCCTTCCGGACTCCCATAAAGGCATCCTCATCCACGAGTGGTTGTTAAACAGGTGTTTCTATGGGTCATGACAGCTGGCACCACGTATCCCATCGTCTTGTTCACATCAACCCAGATCAGTGATCGTTTCAACTAAAAGACACATAGAAAGACATTCCCAATTCAAGCCTATATTTTAATTTTCCAGAGTGTCTAATAAAACCAGGGATCAAATGAAAGTTATGGAGGAATCAGCCATCAGCGGGAGCTATGCTACTGCTTCTGGGTCACTTTGCTCAGGGACTCGAGGGCCAAGCTTATAGCCAAGGCCCAGTGGGGATTTTCCATCATGACATTTAAATTAAAGCTAAGTTGTTTTTTCACTAGTCCATAGCACTCTGCTAACACCTACTGTTCATCAACACATCCGTAGGGTCAGAAAACACGTTGAGTTGGTTAAAGAAAGGGAAATGAGCCTGTTGCAAAGAGCGCCACGGAGAATATCCCCAAAGCAGGCAGGGTGAACTGGGATGACTCGGTAGAACTTGCGTGCCGCGCTTCCTTCCAGAGTCAGCTCTGCCTGCGTATCAGAAACACAGTGGGGAAGCTCTGTTCTTGGCATCCAGCAGGCAGGAGAAACGGGTCCTGTATTAGTTTCCTCTTTATGTTGGAACAAATCACCACACACTCAGTGGCTTCCAACAGCCCTGTTTATTATACTACAGTTTTGGAGGTCAGAAGGCTGACAGGTGGCTCACTGGACTAAACCCCAAGGAGCCCCGTGTCTGCCAATGCATTCAGATCATCTCCTATGTCATTTCTTAGAGTTTTAAAATCCTGTCCTTGGTAGTCTCCTTGTGTATTCTTGGTTGCTAACTCCTATACATTGTCACCAGTTTGTTTGTGTGTCTTATAGTGTACAATTTTTATTTAGAATTGGCCAGTTGGGCTCAGTCCAGATGACCCCAATTTTGTTGGCAACACCCGAAGCATCATAGTTGGGAGACAGTCAAACATATGCTGCTTCTCTCCACCAGGCCTGATGAGGGTGTTGAGCTTGGTCCTGTCAATGTCCTAGAGCTTCTTCACAGCCTGTTTGATGTGGTGCGTGCGGGCCTTGCCGCCCACAAGGAACACAGGTGTGCTGTTGTCTTCTCTCGGCTTCATGGCTGACTCAGTAGTGAGGGGGAACTTGATGATGGCACAGTGGTCAAGCTTGTTTCTCCCCGGGTGCTCTTCCGAGGGTATTAGGCTTCCTTTGGAGCCCCAGTGTCCTTGGCCACTGAAGCTGGGTGTGGATATCTCTTTTCTTTGTGGCTGTGGATGCCTAGCACTGCTTTCTTTGCCTTCAAAGCCTTTGCTTTGGCTTCACCTTAGGAAAGGGAAGGGGCTTCCTTCTTTGGGCTCCATCGTTGTGAAAAGCTATTTGTTTTTCTTAACCATTAGTTATTATCCTGAGTGTTTGCTAGTATAGAGTAATGCTATTGACTTTTGTAATATAATGTCTCTAGCAGCCATGATAAGATTTTTATAATATAATAAAATTAGTTTCAATAATTTGTGGATTCTAATGATTTTCTAGGTACATGGTCATATTATAGCAAACACTGTCAAGGTGTCTTTTTCAATATCGATGCTTCTCTTCCCCCCTTCATTTCTCTCCTCCTTGTAACTTTAGACAGAACCTCCCAAGGCACTTAAATACTGACACCATGTTCTATACTCCAGAAGTTGGTATGGAACTGTGTGGCCCATAGCCCAAATCTATCCCACTGCCTATTTTTGTATTATCCATGAGCTAAGACATTTGCATCAATGTGATATAAGGAACACTATTTTCAACCCCAATGAAGCAAATTTCCAAAAATTTTATTCTAGAAAGTAATCCATCCCTCTCACTAATAGCTCTGTATTTTCAAAAACAAATTATACTCAATTTTCTATTTTGAATTTTATTTTAAAATATGGAAATGTGTTTTCTCTATTTTTATATAATATCTTTGATTTTGCCCCTTGGACTGCAGGACCTATATTGTTTCCTATTTGGCCCTTTAGAGAAGAAGTTTGCTGGCCCCTTCTCTGTACCATGGCTTCTCCCGACTGCCATTGGTTATAGTTATTGGTGCTGCCTTGTCCCCCAAATACACAAGTTTGTCAAATCGAACCCATCAGAGCGCCTTCAATGGAATGGCCATTAAATGATGTAACTGTGGGATTAAGGAGATGTTTCTAAGTTGCCCTCTTATTGCTCCCCTTGAATGACATAGCGCTGAATGGCGGGAGTGCAGATAAATGCAAATAAACTTCCAGAGCAAATGTCAAACCAGACAGCTGCGGTTATTTGGGGTTTCAAGAGCAATAACGAAGACTCCAGGTCTCCCGTCCAGCTTAGGAGACTCTGCCATCTGAGTCTCTGGTCCAGCGACAGACTGGAGTTGAAACTCTGCTCCTGGAAGCAGGCCCATCAAGATGCCAGCAGTTGTTCTTAAAAGTTAGCGTCTGAAACATCGTTCTGTGGCTTACTAAACATTTAGGATGGGTCTGTTTGGTTCCTAGGATGAGAGCCGAGGGCTGGCTGACCCTTGGTGAGGAAAGACAGAGGACGGGAGAGCCTGCTTGCTGAGGAGAGCCTGGCCCGGAGGAAGGCCGCGCACTGACGGCCATGGCCCGGCTGCCGGGGCTCCCAGCACGGCCTTGGGTCCCCAGGTTTCTGTTGAACCCGAATCGTCATGCACACCGTGTTCCTCAGACACCCGGGAGCACTCCCTTCTCTGGGCCCTTCGTGGGAAACACTCCACCCCCAAAGTCTGCATGGCCCCCCGCTCGGGACATTCTGGGCCCTGTGAGTCGCCTGACACAGAGGCCTCCTCTGAACCCCAAGCATGAGCAGTGCTCTTCCCCCACCTTCCTCGACCGGCCTCTCAGACTGAGCTGTTCACAGCCTGGTCCCACTGGCTGGAAGGTAAGTGCCATGAAGTCATGGAGCTGATTTTGATCACTGCAAAGGCCAGCACCTGAATCGGTGCCCAGCTCCGGACACGGGCCCTCCGTGTGTGTTGGCTTCGTCAGTGGTGTCCTGACCCGCACAGGACAGCCTGTGACCGCTTGGCCCAGTGAGAAGCGAGTGCACCGGGATTTCTAAAAGCTCCCCAGGTGATTCAAAGTGCAGCCAAAGTTGAAAGGCGTTAATGTAAGGATTGCATTAATGTAATGTAAGGAAAGGCGTTAATGTCAGGGAGCGGAGGCACCGGAGCTGCCCAGACAATGCTTTGCAGATGGGGTAGGCAGTGATGAGTACGGACTGGCCCGGGTACTCAGAGGAGCTCCACCCAACGGCTTAGGCCTCCTCACAGGTGACCTTAGTTACATTACCTGGAGCCTAAAACCATGTTCCTAGGACATCTGCGGGAAGCCTGGCGCCTCCTGGTGGCCACATGCACACATCGCAACCCTGTCTTCCTACTGTAGAAAGTACCAGGTGTCCTGTGATCTAGACTGAACAGGCACTAGGAGAATATGGGCCACTTTGGGAGGCTTCTTTTCTAAAGCCTGGGGCTCTAACTGGCTTCGCATAAGTTTTCCCCAAATAATTGTCAAAAAACTTATATTGAAAGATACAAATATTTCATGAAGATTTGGATATTAAAAACTAAAAGACAGAGCGCTGGTGGGTTTGGCTCAGCATTTAGAGTGTGGCCCATGGACTGAAAGGTGGTGGGTTCCATTCCAGTCAAGAGCATGTACGTGGGTTTCAGGTTTGCTCCTGGGCCCTGGTCGGGCAGTGCAAGAGAAACCGATTGATGTGTCACTCACATCTGTTTCTTTCCTGCCCACTTCTACTCTCTCGAAAAATCAATGGAAAAATTAACCTCTGGTGATGTATAACAACCACAAAAACTAAGAAAGTGGGGAAATATTCTGTGTGTATGCCTTTGTTTCTGGTTTTCTCTTGGGACACACAGTGGGAGTGCCCAGAAGCAGACAGTTGCAATATGGCGCTCTGACGTGGGTGCTGAGCTCAGAGGGGTGGTGGGATGGGATAGAGATGGTGGGCAGCAACAGTGGCTGTCTCTCCCCTCAGCATCGTAGCGCAGGTCACCTTGCACACCTGCTTGCTCACAGGCTGCCATCTATTCTTGGAGAGACGCAGCTAGACAAAACAAAGTGCCCAGCCTTGGCCACCCTTTGTCAAGCTCAGTCCTCTCTCTTGGGGAGGACGGCCTATAGCCCACTCATGGTGCCTAAGGTTACATAGACCTCAAATACCAGCGACTGGATAGTGGTGGAGCATGGACTAGGATTAATCACGTGGGGACTGGGGTGACTTTTGAAAGCAGGCCACAGGTAGAATACCATAATTCTAGGTTCACGGCCTTGTGCCCAGCTCCTCCCATGACATTGGCCTCTTTCTGTTTTTTGAGGGGTGCAGAAGGGGACCATTAGCACAAGGTGGAAATGAGCACCAGCTGGGGTACAGGACCCTAAATCACAACATTCCTCTCACCAGGAAACCCCCTCTCCCCCCGCCACACATGCTGTCCACATCCCTACACCCTGCCTAACTTTCAGGACCTCCCCGAGACTCACCTCCCAGGAATAATTATCTGACCCCAGCAGCCTAATTGTGCCAGATATTAGTCTCAGGGTTCCACACACCCCATCCCATTGAATTTCTATAGCATCTGTACACAGATACCATTATCCCCATTAGGAGGACACTAAGGCTCCAAGAGGTTAAATGTGTCTTCATGGCTTCAAAATGACAGAGATAGGAATGAAGCCCAGGTCCACATGATTCCAAAGTCTGAGTTCCTAAGCACTTTCTATGTGACGTCACCTCCCCAGCATCACCTCCTTTCTGACCCATAGTTGTCTGGACTTAATCCCACTTGTTGGGTTACTTTATATGCTTGGAGTATAAAGTTGTAGTTGAGTATATAAAGCATTTCTCCACTTTCATTGCAAGTTGCTTGAAGAAAGGATGACATCTTCTACTTCTCTATTTCTCTCAGGGGTCTATGGTATATAGCGAGGTATATATAGTGATTAACATTTGTTCATTCACTGTGGTTGAACTCAGACAACAAGGAAAAGGAATTAAAATATGCTCAGTGACAGACACCATACTTAAAAGACATCATTTTATCCAACCCTATTCTAATCTACTCTATCTGAAAGCTTTGTGATAGGTACTAGCCTCTTTGGGGAGACAGTTTTTTGTTTCTGAGGCTAGTTAAAATGGAGTACTCACCTGCTCCCACCAGCGTGTCCGTGGTGGAACATGGATTGTCCAGACATTCCGTTTCCAGTTCTACTCTATTCCTGCCACATGTAATTGTCTTTCTGATTTCACAGTTAACTCTGGTTCCAAAGGCAGCCTTTGATGGCATCCACTATTATTTTTTTTAAGTGTCTGATTTGAGTAATTTCAGGTCACTAAGTAGATCCAAAAGAGATGAGATTGACAGGAACAATCTAGGCCTCAATGAACACAGAACGTTTGTGAAGTGGGAGGAGAAGAGCTGGTGCCCCGTGGACAAAAATCTGGACCCAGAATGAATATAAAGACCAAGGAGCTGGGTTGTGGAGCCATCATCAAGGAAAGACTCACTCCAAGCAACTGTAGCTGAGTCAGTAGCGTCCCTTCCAAGATGAAGCTGCTGCTGCTGTGTCTGGGGCTGACTCTCGTCTGTGCCCAAGACGAAGAAAGCCGTGAAGTTGTGACAAACGACTTTGAAATGCCAAAGGTAGAGTCAGGGAGCATAGAGACTTCTGACTTTGGGGGTGGTTTGGGGGTTTCTGATTCAAGGTGGCCCTTCTGGTGGGCAAGAGATTCTTGGCATATCAGGCAAAGGGGGTGGTTTCTGACCTTGGACTAAGAGCAATAATAACATGTGGAAAGGTGGCAACACTTAGGGACCTCCATTCTCACTGAGGAACAGTGGAAAGAGCCTTATATATGGGATCAATTGACCTGAGTTCTAATTCCATGTTCACATCACCTCTATGAGTCCTGGCCCACGGGCCAGAGTTCAAGGAAACAAGCATTCATGTGGTATCCCCTCTCTTCTTTTCTTCCCAATCGTTTACTGATTTATTTCAGATTTCAGGGGAGTGGTATTCCATTCTCTTGGCTTCAGACCTGGGGATAAAAACAGGAGAAAATGATAGCATGAGACTGTTTGTGGAATCCATCCTAGTCTTAGACAACTCTTCTTTGTCACTTAAATATCATATAAAGTAAGTATGGCTTTTTTTACTTGTGTAAAAACTCTTTAGAAGCCTGAGTATGGTCTTGGAGCTCTACAGAACACACACACTCATGCATGTGTGCACTCACATTGTGAGCCTGTATCCAAAATCAGAGGAACTAATCAGGCATTGATCTACGACATGATGAACCTGAAGCTTTTCTAGATTCAGAGATAAGAATTGGTGACAGGAATAAATTTAAATGGGAGCAGAGGAGGTAAGAGGCAGTTTGTGTCAGAATCATAAGTAGTGTGGCAATATAGCATAGATTAAGGGCATAAGGCTGGGGATCAACAGCCTAGCTACCTCTTACTAATTGTGTGATACAGAAATTTTATCTCTTTCCACCCCAATTTTCCCTTGGGTAAAAGAGGATGATAATAGTTCTCTCTCATGGTTCTTTTTTGTGAGGACTGAGTGAAGCAATGTTTGTAGACCCCTTATCTGAGAGGCTGGCACAGATGAGCACTCAGCTAATTATCTAGACAAGTAGCTGTAATAATAGTAATAGTGCCAAATGGTGGTAGAGTATTAGTGATATCAGTAGTTGACTCATTCTTAAAGTAGCAAATAAAGTGAAATAAGGTAAATAAAAGCTCTTTCAAATTTGTACCAAAAATGTTCAACAGTTAAGTAGAATCGGGTACTCATGTTACAGGTAATCAGGTGGAGTGTGAGGGAGCAGGCCCCATCAATATCTCTTGGACATCAGTTCATTCTGTTTTACAGGGTCAATGGAGAGTGCACTGGAATTTCTTTAACTTGTGACAAAACAGAAGAGAAGAATATATATAGTGTTGACTGTAAGTATACATAAAAAAGCATTTGTAAATTTCACTTTCAACTTCAAGAAATTTGTTAAATCCTGAGGACTTCCTGTCAAGATGGTAGTGTAGGTAAACACGGCACGGGCCTCCTTTCACAATCACATCAAAATTACAACTAAACTACAGCACAACCATCATTCAGAACTGCCTGAGATTGAGCTGAATGGAAGTCCTGCAACTATGAAATTAAAGAAGAAGCCACATTGACTGGTAGGAGAGGCAGAGGTGCAGCTGGGCTGGTACCACACCCAGGTGTGGTGAATAAAAATCAGGAGGGATACCTTGGCTGGGAAGGTCCTCAGGGAGGGGTCCCATCCCACACCAGGCCTCCCAGCTCAGGGTTCCAGTGCCAGGAAGAGAAGTCCCCATAACTTCTGGCTGTAAAAACCAGTGGGAATTGAGGCTCAGGGAAGCTGAGGCTTCTTGAGTCCCAGGCAACTAGTTCCTCTTAAAGGGCTTGCACATGGACTCACTCAGACTCACCCACTCTGGCTGCAGCATGAGGGAGGCAGCTCAAAAGGCACCAGAGACATACGGGAAGACTTGAGTTGTTTGGCATTGGGGGAAAAGCTGAAGGGGCAGTTTCCTCCTGGACAGACATGCTGACAGAAGCTGTTGTTCCTATGGTGAGCCCTTCCCCCATGAGGCTGGTATGATAGCTTTCCTGGGTAGAGTAATCTTGATTGTAGGTCCAAAGAGAGAATGAGAAAAGCAGTTACTTACTTACAAGGGAGCTCCCACAAGACTATTAGCCAATTCCTCAAAAGAAACTTTGCAGTCCAGAAGGGAGTGGCAAGAAATATTCAAAGTGATGAAAAGTAAGGACCTACAACCAAGATTACTCTATCCTGCAAAGCTATCATTTAGAATCAATGGCCATATAAAGAGTTTTCCAGACAAGAAAAAGCTAAAGGAGTTCATCACCACCAAACCAGTATTATATGAAATCTTGAAGGGTCTTCTTGAAGAAGAAGATCAAACATATTAACAATAAAATGGCAATAAATACATACCTGTCAACAATTGAATCTACAAACAAAATGAATAAGCAGAACAGAAACAGACTCATGTATACAGAAAACCTTTTGTTGGTTACCAGATGGGAGGGGGGCTGGAGGGATGGGTGAAAAAGATGAAGGGATTAAGAAGTACAAATTGATTGTTATACTGGGGAACCTCAAAGGGAAGTGGGGAGGGGAGGCTGGAAGAGAAGAACCAAAGAACTTCTATGCATATATGCATAACCAAAGGACACAGACAATAATGTGGAGAAGGTAGGAGGGGGGTGGGAGCAAGGAGGAGGGGGTCAGTGGGAGAAAAAAGGGGGGACATCTGTAATACTTTCAACAATAAAGTTTAAAAAAATTTATTAAATCCCAATATCCTTAGGATCTTGATCAACTCGTGATCAATGTTTCTTTAGGTAATATAAATGAGGTCCTCTAATAGCCAATATCCTCAATTTGGGAGAGCCTTGTGTATAAAAGCCAATACCTGGCACATAATACCATCAGAATAAGATGGCAGTTTGGTCATATGTACCACCTGCAGCAAAAGAAAATGGGCACACAAAAAAGTAAATTTTTTGGATAATTTCTGATTCCCTGCTCACTCTGCTGATGTTTGGTGGCCACTACCACAGCACATTGCTCAGATGGAGTGCTGTGCATGTAATGCCAGTGGGCTTATAGACGGGATAGAGACACAAAGTGGGTAGAGATGAGCCTCAGGGTGGATAATAAAAGGTAAGTTTCAGCCGTGGCTAAATTTTCTACCACTAGCAATCAATGTTTGTTCATTCTATCCTTAGAAGTCGCCAGATGAAGCCTAGGGAGGTGCAAATGGAAGACATTAGGTATCATCACTCTTTATCTCTCCAGGACATGCACTTGGGTTTTCTCTGGGAACGAGAAGACGAAAAGAGTTTCACTTGCTTCCATGGACTAAAGAAGTTCTGAGCTGTGTTCTTTTTTCCTCCACAGATGATGGATTAACTACATTTCACATAATTGAAGCAGAATATAGTGACTATCTTATATTTTATGTCTTGAATTTCGACAATGAGATAGAAACTCAACTGCTGGAGCTCTACGGTAGAGTATTTTCATGTGGATATTAACCTTGGAGTGGGCTGGAGACAAGCTGATCCTCCCAACCTTATCCTGGGATATCACTCCTCCTCTGAAGAGAGGTGCTCACCTGGGGTAAAACCTCAGGCTCTGTGATGGGAAGGTGATGAAATTTCTCATCATGACATAAGGATATCCTAAAGATGTCAAATTCAGGACAGGTTATAGCCCATCCCTAACATCTACCTAAGCACCAATCAGTGCCATCCAGTGCCATCCATCTGCCCCTCCCCCGCCCCCAGGAGCCCATGACCATGACACAAGACACAGCAGTTACTGTCACTCTTCCCACAGCCCGAAAACCAGATGTGGGTCAAAAACTCAAGGACGAGTTTAGTGAACTTTGCCAATATTATGGAATTCCTGAGGAAAACATACTGGACCTGACCAAAACTGGTAAGTTTATCTATCTCTGGTCTTCTCTGCCTAAATCCCCATGTTACTGAATGGAGGGAGCCAAGAGAAGGTAACACCTCCAATCACTCCCCTCGTCCTAACCTGGGGAATCATCTGGTTGCTCTCTGGGAAATAAACGGGATGGAGTTTGACTGTGCTCTGTTCTGCCTCTGCAGATCGCTGTCTCCAGGCCCGAGGGAGCCATGTGGCCCAGGACTCCAGGTGGGTGATGTCTGACAGAGAGGGGGTGCCAGGGATCACTGCCTTCCAACACCATTAGGGGGTTGTGTCCAAATATTGCAATAACAATAATTTGATAAGGAAGCTTGTGGGGTGAGCTTGGAATCTGGAGTTGGGGGTCTTGTTTCAGGACCCAGTCCTTCCATGAGCTTCAGAGCAAATTACCTATTAAAAGGAAAACAATGATGTGTACCTTACGGAGATACTGTGTGGATATCCTGCTGGTGAAGAGGCCTTGGTAACTGATAATGTCCTAAAAATCATTAAGACTTAAACTTTGAACTAGGAAAGGAGTACTAGGGTGTGAGTATGAAACTCAAGTACATTTCTGTGTTTTGTCCGTCTGCCAAGGCCAAAATGTGTGGTGTCACCCTCCAATTTCGGGTAATACGGTCTTCCCTTCATCTCTGCACATCCTTCACTTCTGATCTGGAAACAGCTGTCTGACCTTCCGGTGTCTTTCACCTGGAAAATAGGCTCTGAATGTCCTCCTGTTTCCCACCTCACCTTTATTGGGGGGCTTTATTCAGATAACATGGGAAAGTCTTAGCATCGATGGCTTGTATAAAGTCAGCCTTTAATAAAAAGTAGCTATGTTTTTCTTGTGTTGTTTTGCCATTTGTCTTTAATTCATTGAAAATTTCCCAAAACATTTAATGCTGAAAATGGCAGAAACCAGCCAAGGGCTCCTCATTGATTCCTCTCTCTTTTTCATAGACTTGGCTGAGGAAAGGTTAAGCAATAGAAAAAAAAAAAAAACACAAAACAAAACAGCCATTGAGTCAATGCCCTCTTTTCCCCTGTATTTTTAGTCCTCACCCTAGGACATTCTGAGAGAGAGAGAGAGAGAGAGAGAGAGAGAGAGAGAGAGAGAGATCAATGTGAGAAATAGTAGCCTTCCATGCTCCCCCACTGGGGATCAAACCTGAAATGCAGGTGTGTGCCCTGACCTGGAATCAAACCATCAACTTTTGATGCATGGGATGATGTTCAACTAATTGAGCCACTTAGGCTAGGCCCCCTATTGTGGCATGTAACATAGGTTATAGTGCAGGTTGATATTTATTTTGTCATATTTTTCCCTGTGATAAAAATTCTCTTTGACTTCAATTCCATTCAGAAAGTGCTTAATGAGTTTGTGTTCTCTCTCTGTGCTTATTTTAGTGTTAAGTGACTGCTTCCTCACCTGAGCTCCAGGATCTTCATTCCATGGTCCCTGTGTCATCCTGTGACAAGATCTGTGACCTCATTTTCACCACTATCATCTATGAAGGCATTATCTCTGATTCTTAAGGCTCTTCTCTAATTGTCTAGACAGACTCATCAACTTACCAAGACTCAGAGGTTTTCTCCAAATTCCCCACTGTTGTTGCCATACCCAGGAGAACTTACCATGAAGAAGACTTCCTGTACCTGGTCAATAAATGAGTAGTCTTGCATCACGTGATTGTCTTTGTGTATGTGAGAGACATGGGTCTGACCGTAAAGGATGAGGGGACCCCCCCCCCCCGGCCCTGTACCCATAATGGTCCTCTAGCATCTCAGAATCTTCTGTGAGTTTCAGGATTCTCCCTCCCCTGCATCATTCTCTGTCCCTGCGAATGAGGGTTGCTTGCCCTTTTTTGGCCTATTTTTAGTGACCCCATAAAGCAAACTATGAGACTTGCCCCACAATTTGCCCCATCCTAGAATTTATTTCTGAAGGGGGTACTGATGAGGGTGTTGACCTTGGTCATGTCAATGTCATATAGCTTCTTCACAGCCTGGTTGATGTGGTGCTTGTGGGCCTTGACATCCACAATGAACACAAGTGTCCTATTGTCTTGTATGTGCTTCATGGCTGACTCAGTAGTGAGGGGGAACTTGATGGCACAGTGGTCAAGCTTGTTTCTCCTGGGAGCGCTCTTCCAAGGATATTTAGGCTGCCTTTGGAGCCCCAGGGTCTCCAGCCATCAAAGGTGGGTGATGTACGAGTCTTGTTTTTTTTCTGTGTGGCTGTGGATGCCTTTCAGCACTGCTTTCTTTGCCTTCAAAGCCTTTCCTCTGGCTAAGGCTGTGGAAGGGACAGGAGCTTCCTCCTACCCTTTGGGATCCATCTTCGTGTAAAGGCTGTTTTTTTTTTTTTATCCTCACCTGAGGACACTTCTCCACTTTTTGGTCAGACAGAGTGGGAGGGAGAGAGAGGAAGAGAGAGAGAGAGAGAGAAAGAGAGAGAGAGAGAGAGAGAGAGAGAGAGAGAGAGAGAGAGAAAACATCGACGTGAAAGGGACACATCAAGTGGCTGCCTCCCGCACAACCCAACCAGGGCCGGGGTGTTTGTTATTTTAACCATTAGTTACTATCATGAGTTTTTGCTGGTATAGAGAAATGCTATTGATTTTTGCAAGTTGATGTCTCTAGCAACCTTGATGAAATTTTTTAATAGTTATAATAAAATTAGTTCCACTACTTTGTAGTTTCTGTTGTTTTATATTGTCATGTTATTACAAATAATGTCAATGTCATCCCTCAGAAGAGGGGATGGGGGTGGGGGGGTGGGAAGAGATAAACCACAGAACTTATATACATGTATGCATGACCAATGGACATGGACAACTAAGCCGGGGACAGGGTGGGGGTGGGGTGGGGTGGGGGGTGCCAATGGGGTAAAAAGGTAAAATATCTGTAACAAAAAAATAAATAAAAATTCATTAAAAAAACAAAAACAAATAATGTCAATGTATCTCTTCCAAAACTTACTTCTCTCTCTGTTTTTCTTTTCTTTTTTTCTATTATTGTAACTTTAGCCAGAACCTCCTAAGGCACAGAAATATTGAAACCATGTTTTCTATACCAGCAGTGGTGTGGAACTGTGGCCCACAGGCCAAAACTTCCCACGGCCTATTTCTGTATAGCTCAAGAGCCGAGACGTTTGCAATCGATGTGATACTGGGAACACTATTTTCAACCCCTATTAAGAAAATTTCCACAACTTTTATTCTAGAAAAGAATCCATTCTTCTCACTACTAAATCTGTATTTTTTTTTAAAAAGTATATTAAATATTCTGTTTTGCATTTCATGAAAAATTGTGGAACTGTGTTTCTCTGTTATTCTGTTAGTACCTACATAATACCTTTGATATTGCCCTTTGACCTGCAAGACCTAACATGTTTCCTATCTGACCCTTTAGGGAAAAGTTTGCTGGCCCCTTCTCTGTACCATGGCCTCTCCTCTGACTGCCATTTGCTATCGTTATTGGTGCTACATTGTCCCCCAAATACACAAGTTTGTCAAATCGAACCCCTCAGAGCGCCTTCAATGGAATGGGCATTAAATGATGTAACTGTGGGATTAAGGAGATGTTTCTAAGTTGCCCTCTTATTGCTCCCCTTGAATGACATAGCGCTGAATGGCGGGAGTGCAGATAAATGGCAAATAAACTTCCAGAGTAAATGTCAAACCAGGACACCTGCGGTTTCAAGAGCAATACTGAAGACTCCAGATCTCCGACCAACTTAGGAGACTCTGCCATCTGAGTCTCTGGTCCAGCGACAGACTGGAGTTGAAACTCTGCTCCTGGAAGCAGGCCCATCAAGATGCCAGCAGTTGTTCTTAAAAGTTAGCGTCTCTGAAACATCGTTCTGTGGCTTACTAAACAGTTAGGATGGGTCTGTTTGGTTCCTAGGATGAGAGCCGAGGGCTGGCTGAGCCTTGGTGAGGAAAGACAGAGGACGGGAGAGCCTGCTTGCTGAGGAGAGCCTGGCCCGGAGGAAGGCCGCGCACTGACGGCCATGGCCCGGCTGCCGGGGCTCCCAGCACGGCCTTGGGTCCCCAGGTTTCTGCTGAACCCGAATCGTCATGCACACCGTGTTCCTCAGACACCCGGGAGCACTCCCTTCTCTGGGCCCTTCGTGGGAAACACTCCACCCCCACAGTCTGCATGGCCCCCTCTCGGGACATTCTGGGCCCTGTGAGTCACCTGACACAGAGGCCTCCTCTGAACCCCAAGCATGAGCAGTGCTCTTCCCCCACCTTCCTCGACCGGCCTCTCAGACTGAGCTGTTCACAGCCTGGTCCCACGGGCTGGAAGGTAAGTGCCATGAAGTCACGGAGCTGATTTTGGTCACTGCAAAGGCCAGCACCTGAATCGGTGCCCAGCTCCGGACACGGGCCCTCCGTGTGTGTTGGCTTCGTCAGTGGTTCCCTGACCCGCACAGGACAGCCTGTGACCACTTGGCCCAGTGAGAAGCGAGTGCACCGGGATTTCGAAAAGCTCCCCAGGTGATTCAAAGTGCAGCCAAGTTGGAAGATATCAGTGTCAGGATGGCAGGAGTGGGTGTCATCACGTGCCTGCAGTGCAGAGTCCCCGGGACTGCAGCTCGCACCGGTGCCTGCCAGGGCTTCCCCAGTAATGCTCTGCGGAGGGTGGTTGGGGCCTCGCAGCCTGGCCCCGGTGATCAGAGGAGCTCAGAGGATGGTTAGGCTAAATGTAGGCCAAGTTTTACTACTATTTCCTATGTATGCAGCAAGTAATTATATAAAACCCTTATTTGTCCTATTATTGCTTTAACAAGTTCAACCTTTTTAAATTTCCTCTTTGTCTGATAACATTGCCCCACCTGATTTGTTTTATGTCTCTTCAATCTTTTTGCCTTTCATTAAGTCACTCTAAAGACACTCAGCTGTGCTTTTTAAAAAACTATATAATTTTATTGATTTTTTTTTTTAGAGAGCGAGGAAGGGAGAGAGAGAGAAACATCAATCGGCTGACTCCTGTGCACCCCCTACTGGGGACCGAGCCCACAACCTGGGCATGTGCTCCGACCAGGAATTGAACTAGGCTCAGTCCATGGGGTGACGCTCAGTCCACTGAGCTACACCAGCTGAGCTCAGCTATGCTTTCTAATCCATGCTGACAGCCGATTGGAAAGAGGAAGAAGTATCTGTCTCCTGTTTCTCTGCTTTCTCGCCTTAGATTTCCTGTTTTCACTGTGCTTTCTCAGTTCCGTAGACTGACTGAGCTGATCACATGTTCTTCCTGTTTTCCCCTTATTAAATG